TTGTATTATATCCCTATATCAGATATATCGAATATCGAGGGGGTCAAGAGGATTAGAAAGGGAATGCCACATTAGAGTCATGAGCTGATTAAAATGAAACTGTTTTTTTTTTGCAATTTATAATACAATTATTTATACAATTATTTTTTTTGTCAACTTTTATCTCCTTTCATCATCATTTGACCTAATTTCAACTTAAATTTTTAAAAAATTCTCATTTGACCTAATATCAAGTTAAATTTTTAAAAAAATTCTCATTTGACCTAAATTTAAGCTAAATTATAAAAAATTCTCATTTGACCTAATTTCAAGTTAAATTTTAAAAAAATTCTCATTTGACCTAAATTTGACCTTTTTTGTATAATTTGATTGATTCTTAAAAACATTTGGCATAATTTAATAGTAGAAAACGAATAAAATAGGGTTAAATGAAAACTAGGTCAAATTTTAAAGTAGGTCAAATATTTAACCTAATTTTTTATTGATCTACTTTTTATTTAGCCTATTTTTTATATTTTGTTCATTTTAAAATTTTACATTTATTTAACCTAATTAATATAGTCCTAATAAGATTATTTAACCCTTGTTTAGCATAATTATTGTTTGACCTAAAGCCTACTTAACCTGACTAATATTTGACCAAATCATTATTTAACTTAATTAATTTTAAACTTGAAACTTATTTAAACAAATTATTATTTTACCTGAAGCTTATTTAACCTGCTTAATGTTTAGCCTAAAGAACATTTAACCTAATTAACGTTTGACCTAAAGACAACTTAACCTAATTAATATTTGGCCTAACATTAATTTTACTTAATTAATTTTTAACCTGAAACTTATTTAACCTAATTATTATTTGACCTAAAGCTTATTTAATCTACTTAATATTTAGCCTGAAGAATATTTAACCTAATATTAGGTTAAATTAGGTTAGGCCTCTAGGTTTGACCTAGAGCCTACTTTAGGTCAAACTTAAATTAAATAAAAGGTCAAATATCAGATTAAATAGGCTTTGGGTAAAACAAAAACTAGGTTAAATAAACTTCTGGTAAAACAAAAATTAGGTTAAATAAAGTTTAGGTCCAAAATTAATTAGGTTAAATATTCTTTAGTTCAAATATTATTAAGCTGGTTAAATGAACGCGTCGTCAAATATTAATTAGGTTAAATATTCTTTAGTCTGAATATGAAGCAGGTTAAATAAGCTGTAGGTCAAACATTAAGTAGGTTAAATAAGTTTTAGGTTAAATATTAATTAAGTTAAATAAAAATTAGGTCAAATATACATCAGGTTAAGTTAGGTTTCAAATATTATTAAGCAGGTTAAATATTTTATAGGCTAAACCTTAAACAGGTTAAATAGGCGGGCCAAATAATAATTAGGTTAAATAAGCTTCAGGTTAAATATTAATTAAGTTAAATAAATATTAGGTCAAATAATAATCAGATTAAGTAGACTTTAGGTTAAACATTAATTAGGTTAAATATTCTTTAGGCTTAATATTAGGCAGGTTAAATAAACTGTAGGCCAAATAATAATTAGATTAAATAAGCTTCAGGTTTAAATATTAAATATTAGGTACATATATTTAAATATTAGGTCAAATATTAATGAGGTTAAACAGGTTTTAGGTCAAATGTTAATTAAGTTAAATAAAGATTAGGTAAAATATTAATCAGTTTAAGTAGGCTTTAGGTTAATTAGGTTAAATATTTTGTAATTTCAATACAATAACCAGGTTAAATTAAAACTAGGTCAAACATTAATTAGGTTAAATATTTACTTAAATAAAGATTAGGTCAAATAATAATCAGGTTATGGTAATCTTTTGGTTAAACGTTAATCATGTTAAATAAGTTTTATGTTAAGTATTAATTGAGTGAAATAAAGATCAGGTTAAATATTAATCAGGTTAAGTAGGCTTTATAATTAATTAATAATTAATTATATTAATTAATTACTTCAGTAGGTTAAATAAGTTTTAGGTCAAACAATAATTAGGTTAAATAAGGGTTAAATATAGTTTAAGTAAATTATTATCTAAATTATAAAGATTATTATATATTATTATTATTATTATTTAAATTATAGAATTATTTAAATTTTTTAAATTCTTTATGTTATTTAAATTATTTAAAAAATTTTAAATTATTTGAGTTTTTAAAATTATTTAAATTATTTAAATTACTTAAATTATTGCAATAACTATTAAAATTATTAAAACATCATCATTATAATGAGATAAGCATAAATTTGATCCAAAATATAATTACTCAAAGCAATTACTTTCGTAATGGAAGAAGAAAATTTCGAATAAGGAAATCCTTTTTCATCATATATTATATATAATAATAAATCGTCTTAAAATTATCGTTCGCAGATTAAATTACTCACGAATATATACATATATAAAAGATAAAAGAAATTATAAACTTTAGATAAAATTATGAATTAAAAGAAAAAATTGTATTCTATTAATTTTAGTTTTCTTTAAAAATTTATTACACATATAGTTATAAATAATTGCACATAATAGTATGTGTCTGGCATATGAGAAGAAAGCGAACAGTTGCATATTTAATTATAATTATGACATGATAATCATAAGTATGCACGATCCTATCATCGAAAATAGGTGCTAATAATCAAATAGTCAAATAAATATCAGCTTATGACATTTTGAATTACGTAAATTTAAAGAAGCATTTTGATTTTTCTGAATTATTATCATCCCTTTCTTTTGAACTCGTTTTTAACTTTCGCTATTTTCTTTAGAAAATTATTTACCGTTCTTCAAAATTAAAATTAAATTTTTGTTTACTATTTTTACTATTTTCTTTTACAAACACTAATTTTTGAATTTTGTTTTAAATAGAAAATTATTTACAATTCTTCTGAATAAAAATATACTATTTTTTGGAACAAACTAATTTTTCAATTTTGTTTCGAATTGAAAATTATAATTACAAAATAAAAAATATTGTAAGTACCTTATAGAGTTAAAAATCGTTTTTGTAATTAATTGGAAAACTTTTCTCCTAATTTAATCTCTTCTTAGAGTTTATAAATATTTTTAAAAAAATTGTTTGGTAACGTTTTGTATTTTTTTTTAATATTAAAAATTATCTTTTTGAGTTTGAATTCCGGGAAAAAAAGCTCTTCGATATTTTTGCCATTCATGAAAGTAACTTTATAAGATGAATCAGCTGATTCTTCAATGCTCTCATTTTTTTTCCCCCAACCTTCTTATCCTTCTTATTTCGGAATCTCTTTTTAAACTCTTCTGTTTCCTTTTTTGCTTGGGACAACACCGACGAAATGTTACGAAGTATAACTGGTTCGACGCTCTCCAAACGCGATCCATGTCGTCCGTTAGGTAATCTCCAAATTTCACTTTCAATCAGTTAAAATACAAGTATACACGTACATATAATACACAAATATAAGTCACACCCTCTCAATGAAATTTTTATAATAAGATTGATTAAAAAAAGACTTAACATAAATTAACATAATTCGTCCTAAAATGGATTTTACTATTTTGCTGTTTCTATTTTTTTCAATTTTTAATCAATTTTTTTAAAAGTGTATTTAGTTTGCTATTTCTACGTTCTTTATTTTCAATCAAAATTTTTTTAAAAGTGTACTTGAGGGGAAAAATTTGTTATGGTAGAGAAATAATTTTTTCCTTTTATAATAACAATTTAAAATTCTTTTTGGAATTTTCTTTCCTGGTACTTTCATTACAATTTCATTTTTCATTTTAAAAATCTAATATTAAATTCGTAATCAGCGACCAGAAAAACCTCTGAGTATGAAACATTAAACAAATCAGAGTGATTTTTAATTTCTACCTCCGCCATATTGGATCCGCCATTTTGAATTTCGAAAATCTGACATCAAAATCGTAATCAGCGACCAGAAAAACCCCTGAGTAACAAATTTTAAGCAAATCTGATTAATTTTTAATTTTCCGCTCGCCATATTGAATCCGCCATTTTGAATTTTAAAAAACTGACACCGAATTCGTAATCAGCGACCAAAAAAAACCCACGAGTAAGAAAAATTAAACAAATCCGAATTATTTTTATTTTTACATCCGCCATTTCGAATTTCGAAAATCTGGTACCAAATTCGTTATCAGCTGCCATAAATGGTTTTCAAAGTTTTATCTAATTTAATTTTAGAGGCCCCTTTGAATTTTAAAATTTATATTTCTAATAATAAAGTTATAATTATATTTAAAATTATATTTATATTTATAATTATATTTATAATTATATTCATAGTTATAATTATATTTATAATTATATTCATAGTTATAATTATATTTTTAATTATATTTATATTTATAATTATATTTATGTTTATATTTATAACTTGCCACTTACGAAATTCAGTTAAAAATCATTTTCCAAGAGCAACCACTAAATTGCCATTTGTTTCTCTTTCTTGGAAAAAAATCTATTCTCCTTACGCCACTAAAGACCATTTAGGTATTATACCGACTGTAACTAAATGCAATGTCATCAACACCTGATTTAAAATTCAATAATATTTGCAATTACCTATATATTTTATTAGGAAATAAAAATATTTTTTTATAACTATACGTTCGCAATTTTTTATGAGAATACTCGGTATTTAATAAATAATTCAAATAGCAACATTCATTTCTCATGAATTTTCCTCATTTTTCCCTATTGTGAATTCCTTTTTATATTTTATTTTCAAATAATAGAGTTTCAAATAAATATCACTTTAAAGTAGTGTAATTTTCTAATTTTTTAAAATGACAAAAATATTTATTCAAATGTTTACAGTACAATAATTTCGAACACTCTAAATTTATACTGCAAATTTTCTTTAAAGTGCTGAAATATCGTTAGTTTTACTGAAATTATTATTAATAATTTATTTAATTAGTAACATTATTTATCTATTTAGAAATTATTATTAATTTTTATTAACAGAAAGTTTTTTCGTTTTTTTGCAGGGAGCAATATCTCTTTAATGTCTTCGAGGTCATTGTTTCAACTTTGGAGTCGAAACTCCAGAGGATCGAGAATTTGGACAAGGCAGTTGAACACTTGATGAGGAGGGTGGAGGCTCTTGATTCTAGGGTTAATGACAATATCGATAAAACCGATGCAGTGATAACGAAATTAAGGACCCTGGATCTTAAACTATTTCACACTCAACCACTTCCTATTCCGGAAGTGGTTGCAGCCTCCACGAGGAATGTCGAAAGCAGAAGTGGCACCGATGACTCCGAGGGTAAGCTTTCTTTAATAAATTAAAATAATTTAATAAATAAATTTATAATTAAAAAAAGTATTTTAGAGAAATGCAAAAAATTCTCTATTTTAACCTTTAGAGGGTCGGTAAATTTGCACAAGTTTTAGAAGTTTTTTTTATTAAGAAAAATTTATAGTAGCTCAGAAATACACCTTAAAAACCCTTAGAGTTTTAAGGAGTGAAACCACATTTATTATTCATTGAACTATCTTTTGAGTAAAAATATTAAAAGTGGAAGAAGTTAGCAATTTTTAATATTAAAAATAAAAAAATGTGGTTGTCTTCCTTAAAAGGATCTAAAATAAAAGAAAACGGTTGTTGCCGAACAACTTCCGGTTCACGTTAGGATTGTTCGTAAGAAGTTCCTTCTACGGGAGCAAGAGCAGGAATGACTGCTCTCGCCAGAGCTCTTGTATTTATACTCCACTGATACCCCCACTCCCTCGCTTCGCGCATGCGCTTGCCACTCGTCGGACGCCACTGCGCTTGCGCCGCAATAAGTTTTTCATTAGTAGAACAAAGCGCGTCCATTTAAAACTTTGTAAAAATTATAAAAATATATAAAGAAACTGGCACAAATAATTTTTTTTTGCTTTCAATATAATTACTTTTTTATTTTAATTGTTATTTATTGTTATTAATTATTATTAATCAATTATGAATATAGATTATTAAAAAAAATAAAAATCCTTTTTTCTGCAACACAGTTCCACTAATAAGATTGATACACAATGACGAGGGCTCGCCAGACACATTGGGTGAAAAATTAGTTTCACTCGATCAAAAGGTTTCCGACATTGACAATAAATTAGTGATATTGAAAAATCATTTGGACAATAATTTCCTGCCAACTGACGACATTAACGCGGAGGCCAGTGAAAAGAAGCCAATTAGCATGAATGTTATTGAAATAATGAAGGCAATGAGCAACGAGGTCATGAATCATGTAACAATCGAAATTGAAAATCTACGGCAAACAACTGGCAACATGGATCGGAAGTTGCAATTTCAAATGAATCTTGTCTCGGAGAACCTTGGTGCAGTTTACATTATGATGAAAGATGTTCACGAGGCAATTGTCGATAAGAATACAACGCCATCAACGATTAATATAACCACAACACAGGCGCCGCCCAAGCAAAGTAAAATTGATAAACTCGTAGAACAAATGCATCCAATGTTGACGGTTTCGGAAAAAATGGACGAGGTCTGGAATGTTGTGGTGAGTCAACTTTTTAGTAATAATTAATAAATGTTTCTTTTTCACTTATATGGAGAAAATGAGTTTAATAATTTTTTTTTTGTAATTAAAAATTCGAATAAAATTTGTTAACCATTAAGGTGTTGTTCAGCAACATCCTAGCTACAACTTGGGTGATTTCCAGATTATAAAAAATTATTACAATTGGAGAAAATAAATTTAAGCGTCCTTTTCTCAGATTTCAATTGTCTGCTGAAAAGCGGAAAGACCTGCTACTACTTAAAAGTTGAAATAAAATTTTCTAATCTTGAGGGTGTTGTTCAGCAACATCCTAGCTACAACTTAAATGATTTCCAGCTTATAAAAAATTATTAGAAATTATCAGAATTAATATAATATAATTTTTCTACTAAAAATGTAAATAATCATCTAATGAACAATAGGCAACAACATAACCAATTGTTTATTAACAAATAAATTTTTTAAAGCCCTTAGCTTCGCAAACTCGAAAAATCGATTGTCTGCTAATTGGCGGATGAAGTATTTTGACTAGTAATTTCGCCAAAATTATTTTACTAAACAAAATTCTTGTAAGCAATCATCTAATGAAGAATAGGCAACAACATATCCAATTGTTTATTAACAAATAAATTTTTTAAAGCCCTTAGCTTCGCAAACTCGAAAAATCGATTGTCTGCTAATTGGCGGATGGACTGTTTTGACTAGTAATTTTGTCAAAATCATTTAAAAAATAAAAATTCTTGTAAATAATCATCTGATGAACAATAGGCAACAACATAAGCTATTTTTTATTAACAAATAAATTTTTTAAAGCCCTTAGCTTCGCAAACTCGAAAATTCGATTGTCTGCTAATTGGCGGATGGAGAATTTTGACTAGTAATTTCGCCAAAATTATTTTACTAAACAAAATTCTTGTAAATAATCATCTAATAAACAACAGGCAACAAGAAAACCAATTGTTTATTAATAAATAAATTTTTTAAAGCCCTTAGCTTCGCAAACTCGAAAAATCGATTGTCTGCTAATTGGCGGATGAAGTATTTTGACTAGTAATTTCGCCAAAATTATTTTACTGAACAAAATTCTTGTAAACAATCATCTAATGAACTATAGGCAACAACAAAACCAATTGTTTATTAACAAATAAATTTTTTAAAGCCCTTAGCTTCGCAAACTCGAAAATTCGATTGTCTGCTAATTGGCGGATAGACTGTTTTGACTAGTAATTTTGCCAAAATCATTTAAAAACTAAATATTCTTGTAAATAATCATCTAATGAACAATAGGCAACAACAAAACTAATTGTTTATTAACAAATAAATTTTTTAAAGCCCTTAGCTTTGCAAACTTCAAAATTCGATTGTCTGCTAATTGGCGGATGGACTGTTTTGACTAGTTATTTTGCCAAAATCATTTAAAAAATAAAAATTCTTGTAAATAATCATCTGATAAACAATAGGCAACAACATAAGCTATTTTTTATTAACAAATAAATTTTTTAAAGCCCTTAGCTTCGCAAAACTCGAAAATTCGATTGTCTGCTAATTGGCGGATGGACTGTTTTGACTAGTAATTTCGCCAAAATTATTTTACTGAACAAAATTCTTGTAAACAATCATCTAATGAACTATAGGCAACAACAAAACCAATTGTTTATTAACAAATAAATTTTTTAAAGCCCTCAGCTTCGAAAACTCGAAAAATCGATTGTCTGCTATTTGGCGGATGGACTGTTTTGACTAGTAATTTTGCCAAAATCATTTAAAAAATAAAAATTCTTGTAAATAATCATCTGATGAACAATAGGCAACAACAAAACTAATTGTTTATTAACAAATAAATTTTTTAAAGCCTTTAGCTTCGCAAACTCGGAAATTCGATTGTCTGCTAATTGGCGGATGAAGTATTTTGACTAGTAATTTTGCCAAAATCATTTAAAAAATAAAAATTCTTGTAAACAATCATCTAATGAACAATAGGCAACAACATAAGCTATTTTTTATTAACAAATAAATTATTTAAAGCCCTTAGCTTCGCAAAGCTGGAAAATTCGATTGTCTGCTAATTGGCGGATCGACTGTTTTGACTAGTAATTTTACCAAAATCATTTAAAAAATAAAAAGTCTTGTAAATAATCATCTGATAAACAATAGGCAACAACAAAACTAATTGTTTATTAATAAATAAATTTTTTAAAGCCCTTAGCTTCGCAAACTCGAAAATTCGATTGTCTGCTAATTGGCGGATGGAGAATTTTGACTAGTAATTTCGCCAAAATTATTTTACTAAACAAAATTCTTGTAAACAATTATCTAATGAACAATAGGCAACAACAAAACCAATTGTTTATTAATAAATAAATTTTTTAAAGCCCTTAGCTTTGCAAACTCGAAAATTCGATTGTCTGCTAATTGGCGGATGGACTGTTTTGACTAGTAATTTTGCCAAAATCATTTAAAAAATAAAAATTCTTGTAAACAATCATCTAATGAACAATAGGCAACAACATAAGCTATTTTTTATTAACAGATAAATTTTTTAAAGCCCTTAGCTTCGCAAAACTCGAAAATTCGATTGTCTGCTAATTGGCGGATGGACTGTTTTGACTAGTAATTTTGCCAAAATTATTTTACTGAACAAAATTCTTGTAAACAATCATCTAATGAACAATAGGCAACAACAAAACTAATTGTTTATTAACAAATAAATTTTTTAAAGCCCTTAGCTTTGAAAACTCGAAAATTCGATTGTCTGCTAATTGGCGGATGAAGTATTTTGACTAGTAATTACGCCAAAATTATTTTACTGAACAAAATTCTTGTAAACAATCATCTGATGAACAATAGGCAACAACAAAACCAATTGTTTATTAACAAATAAATTTTTTAAAGCCCTTAGTTTCGCAAAACTCGAAAATTCGATTGTCTGCTAATTGGCGGATGGACTGTTTTGACTAGTAATTTTGCCAAAATTATTTTACTAAACAAAATTCTTGTAAACAATCATCTGATGAACAATAGGCAACAACAAAACCAATTGTTTATTAACAAATAAATTTTCTAAAGCCCTTAGTTTCGCAAAACTCGAAAATTCGATTGTCTGCTAATTGGCGGATGGACTGTTTTGACTAGTAATTTTGCCAAAATCATTTAAAAACTAAATATTCTTGTAAATAATTATCTAATGAACAATAGGCAACAACAAAACTAATTGTTTATTAACAAATAAATTTTTTAAAGCCCTTAGCTTTGCAAACTCGAAAATTCGATTGTCTGCTAATTGGCGGATGGACTGTTTTGACTAGTAATTTTGCCAAAATCATTTAAAAAATAAAAATTCTTGTAAATAATCATCTGATGAACAATAGGCAACAACATAAGCTATTTTTTATTAACAAATAAATTTTTTAAAGCCCTTAGCTTCGCAAACTCGAAAATTCGATTGTCTGCTAATTGGCGGATGGACTGTTTTGACTAGTAATTTTACCAAAATCATTTAAAAAATAAAAAGTCTTGTAAATAATCATCTGATAAACAATAGGCAACAACAAAACTAATTGTTTATTAATAAATAAATTTTTTAAAGCCCTTAGCTTCGCAAACTCGAAAATTCGATTGTCTGCTAATTGGCGGATGGAGAATTTTGACTAGTAATTTCGCCAAAATTATTTTACTAAACAAAATTCTTGTAAACAATCATCTAATGAACAATAGGCAACAACAAAACCAATTGTTTATTAATAAATAAATTTTTTAAAGCCCTTAGCTTCGCAAACTCGAAAAATCGATTGTCTGCTAATTGGCGGATGAAGTATTTTGACTAGTAATTTCGCCAAAATTATTTTACTGAACAAAATTCTTGTAAACAATCATCTGATGAACAATAGGCAACAACAAAACCAATTGTTTATTAACAAATAAATTTTTTAAAGCCCTTAGCTTTGCAAACTCGAAAATTCGATTGTCTGCTAATTGGCGGATGGACTGTTTTGACTAGTAATTTTGCCAAAATCATTTAAAAAATAAAAATTCTTGTAAACAATCATCTAATGAACAATAGGCAACAACATAAGCTATTTTTTATTAACAGATAAATTTTTTAAAGCCCTTAGCTTCGCAAAACTCGAAAATTCGATTGTCTGCTAATTGGCGGATGGACTGTTTTGACTAGTAATTTTGCCAAAATTATTTTACTGAACAAAATTCTTGTAAACAATCATCTTATGAACAATAGGCAACAACAAAACTAATTGTTTATTAACAAATAAATTTTTTAAAGCCCTTAGCTTTGCAAACTCGAAAATTCGATTGTCTGCTAATTGGCGGATCGACTGTTTTGACTAGTAATTTTACCAAAATCATTTAAAAAATAAAAAGTCTTGTAAATAATCATCTGATAAACAATAGGCAACAACAAAACTAATTGTTTATTAACAAATAAATTTTTTAAAGCCCTTAGCTTCGCAAACTCGAAAAATCGATTGTCTGCTAATTGGCGGATGAAGTATTTTGACTAGTAATTTCGCCAAAATTATTTTACTGAACAAAATTCTTGTAAACAATCATCTAATGAACTATAGGCAACAACAAAACCAATTGTTTATTAACAAATAAATTTTTTAAAGCCCTTAGCTTCGCAAACTCGAAAAATCGATTGTCTGCTAATTGGCGGATGGACTGTTTTGACTAGTAATTTTGCCAAAATCATTTAAAAAATAAAAATTCTTGTAAATAATCATCTGATGAACAATAGGCAACAACATAAGCTATTTTTTATTAACAAATAAATTTTTTAAAACCCTTAGCTTCGCAAAACTCGAAAATTCGATTGTCTGCTAATTGGCGGATGGACTGTTTTGACTAGTAATTTCGCCAAAATTATTTTACTGAACAAAATTCTTGTAAACAATCATCTAATGAACAATAGGCAACAACAAAACTAATTGTTTATTAACAAATAAATTTTTTAAAGCCCTTAGCTTTGCAAACTCGAAAATTCG